TTGTCATTTTTGGAAGAAATTAATCAAAAAATTATATTTTTTGGGTTTTTGATTAAACACTTTTAGTTTTGTGATCTGTTTTTGCGAAAACTTTAATAATTTTAAGGGAAAAGCGAAAAAAGTTTTTGCAAAATTCCGCGTAAAATTGCGTTCCGCGTAAAATACATGCATATCGTCAGTATTTTTAAGTAAAACTCTACAAAACAGAGCGTTTATGAGTGGAAAGTAAAGCAAAAAAGTCAGTCAAAACTAAAAAACCGAATATTTTTTTCAACAAGTTCTACAGTCTTCATAGGAATGGAGAAGATTAGTTTTCCAAATAATTTATTATAAACTTTCGCTTATTCAGTTCGTTTTTTGATAGAAAATATTTTGATTTTTGTCCCAAATTCGAAGCTGGAAACGGATTCATTCTAATAAAATGTATTTCATAATTTTTCCCAAAAAATGCCTTAAGATTGTCAGTTGTTTTATGTGAATTTTTTTAAAATTGAGCGTTTAGAAAAAAAGAGTAACTTTGCCAAAACTGAAAAATTCTGAAATTTTGAAGAAATGTTAAAAATATTATTGATAGACGACCCTTAAGATAAGTCTAAAAGCAAGTAAAAAAGTCATCAACATTTTTCCAGCAACGGATCTGACTTACTGCGCCGGTGCCTTTTGCCATTTGCGTAGCACTGCGCCAACTCCTAAAAACTCATCGACTTACCCAGGCCTAATTTCGAGTATTAATAGCTGTTGCAAAAATCCAATCGCTTTGAACGTCCATCAATGTTTATCAGTCTACTTCAATTGCATCGGCATTCTATCATAGTAGGCCATATGCACCTCAGACGCCATACATGACAGTTTGTATGTTTTGGACGTGACTGTGACGTATTGCCGTAATAATCACGTCAATATGTCGTGTACTCGACGTCCTTTTCGCCGATTATAAAACCGTTATATCTTATCGAACGACGCCAATTTCCCATAAACGAGGAGCAAAAGAACTGCATACAAATCTAGTATCACCTTATTGACAAAATCATGAACGCATCAAACTGATAATGAATCAGATTGCAGTTCTTTGGACCTGGAGATTTATGGTCCCTGACCTACTTAATATTTTTCAGTTTTCCGCTGAACAGATCCATTTATTTGCTATCAACGATTAACGATTAGTTAAGGAAGAGTCAGCTAAATGTTGGCTTTAGATATTAGTTTGCAATTCGAGGCGGTTGAGCGCTTAACTGGTTCTAATTTGTGCGGTTCCCAATGACTGGAAAAATGGTAAGTGGAAATTTTTCATTTCAGTTAAGGATCGCCATTAAAACGACCTTTAAAACCTGTGAAAATATTAGTCAAAATTTTAAGAAATTTTAGGTCAGCTTTGAAATTTTAAAAACAAATTGATGATGGTTTCTTGCGCACGGAAGGTTTACGCTTAAAGTTCATCAATAAGTGAGAAGCGCAAATTCGGTTCAAAAGTTCCAAAGCTCCATTTATTAGTTTCAATTTTGAATCATTTATGGCTTTGGGTATCTCCGTACCTATTGGTTTTTTTATTTGGTCACAGTGTAACATACATTCTGCACTATATTCTTATGACAATTGATTAGGCAAAACACGCTCTTTAGTGGTAAATGCGAGGGTGATTTATGTATACAGGGTGTCCGGAAATGGTGCGCCGAACCCTTCACGACCTCGCGAACCACGAGAAAATCTACTTTTATTTATTAAACTTTAAAGCCCTGTAGATCAGTTATTATTGAGTTTTCTAAAAAGTGTTGTAGGAACTTGTTCCACTAATTTGTGTGTGTGTGTGTTATAATTAAGAAGATTTACTCGAAAACGGCTCATTTTGGAGATTTTTTTAGAGACAGCAATTTTGTGCGCTCTTTCACTTTCTGTGGTGTGCCAAGTTTTAGAACAATAACTTAACCAAAAAAAATGTTATTCAAAAAAAAAAAATTAAACAAACCTAACTTTAACGCCGTTTTGTACCACTAAGTGACCCGAAGGGAACTGTTGAAAAGCGGTCAATTCGAGAAAAGCGCATTATTATCAAGGTACAGGATATTTGATGAAGGACTAGACTGAATTCAGCTGGTGAAAAACGTATTATTTACTTGACATCGTTTGCATACTATCTTGCGTAAGTAGGTGTGACAAAATCTAGCAAAAGTTCAAACTAACTTGTTTGCTTAACACAATTTTCTCGGCTCCGCGTCCCTATTCTGATCGGTGGTTGGAGCAATAAGAAAAAAGGTCCATCGATCCAATAAATCCCTCGCAAATAGTCGCATTTACTTACTCTCTTATCTCAGTAATAAATCCGTAATTACGTTTTCCTACGGCATTAAACGAGTATTTGTTGTAGGATTTTGTATTTGATATTTTATTGCAAAATCTAGGACAGATGATTGCGATCCGATGATCGGTTTTGATCGGGCACTTTTCGGTCATCTTTGGCTCACGATGACTGAAAAAGTATAAAATAGCACTCAAATTGCAGCTTTTCCCACTCTGCACAACTTTTATTTGAAAAAGGCCGGTCACAATTACTATTTTTTATATTATACATATTAGAGTTGTGCAGTTAAAGAATGGAATTGAACGGTAATTAGGGAGAATGCTCGGCAACAGAATCGAAAACCAAACAAACCTTGAAAACATGATAAAATGTGCAAAAACCAAGCACTTACAATGAAAAAAAAAACACCTTGGACTCGATCGAGTACGATAAACACACTTCACTAAATCAACAACACAGCTATGCATTATTTGCCCGAGGCTCTCCAGGAGATGTTATGCAGCCCATGAAAGCTTTTCTTCAGGTTGCTGCTGTCCGCCCATTCGGAATTCAAATAGTCATCCTCATCATCCGCGCTCAGTTTCTTCAGTTCTTCCTGGCGCCGATAAGCGTGCAACATCAGTTGCTTCCTCTGCTCCTCAGACATGATGGGCTCGCGCCCTGGGGCGCCCTCTCCTCGCTTGGATAGTTTGATTATCACCTAAAAAATGCTCGCTGATTGCTTCGCTCTTGCGTCTTTTGCTTCCGCTTGCCAACCTTGCAATTCTCAATCTTCCCCACATAGTCGCCCAACTTGCCTCCTTCTCCCCGATACATTTCCTTGCCGCAAAACCACATCTGCGCCGTCATTGGGTCGATTACCTCTAAAGAGGCCTGAGTTCCACTCAGGTCCTCAATGTTTTCAAACTCCATTCGAATGATGTCGTGAGGAGGCAACTTCATCGGGTAGACAATCATCACGGCGCCTTTCAGCGTGTTTACAGCCTCTTGAACCACTTTCTTCGTCAAGCATTTGCCTGGAAAGATGCAAGTTTAGGCCGAAAATGGCAGAAGGATTATTGAGCCGGAACGCATTGCTCAGGATGGGTGGAAGCAACTGAAGCACCTTGAATAACCAGGTTTTTGCTGATCAACTCCTTTGCTTCTTTAATGGCGTTGCGCAACACGTGCTGCATTTCTTCTTTGGGCTGCTTGCCGTTCCGTCGCCCGATTGGGTCTTTGTTGACGCTGAACCCGCCACTTGGAATGCAGCTGTCGCCCCAATCGTCTTTCAGCTTCAGCTCTTCGACTTGTTCTTCAGTTAAGCCCAGGATTTCTATCGACAACATCCACGATCAAAAGCTTCTCAACGCTGCTAGTCATTAGGGCTCACCTGGAGGAAGAAGCGTTCCATGCTGGGCCAGTTCTTCGATTTCCATGCACAGTCTGTCGATCTTCAAGCGTCCGTTATAAATGGTCACCATTTGCTTCACCAGATCTTCAATGGGGAGAGATAAGGGTGCTTCCAGCAAGAATTGGCTTTGGTCCTTGTGCTTCACGTGAATTATCACCATTTTTCCCAAGATTAAGAGCTTTAGTAAACAGGTTGACTTTGATGGCCACCATGCAGCGTTCTAGGCAACGGCGTTTGGTCGATAATCGAAAAGTAAGGGAAATTCAATGACTTTTACAGTGTCCCATTGGTATGGAAAAGCTTCATTTCGTTAAGCTTAAACGGCTAAAGGTGACGCAAAGGGCAGTTTGAAAATCAATTTCTCAGAAACGGTAACAGATGATGACGAACTTTTTTCTAAGGCGGTTAGAGGAAGAAATGGGCTTTCTTTTCGAACTGAATTTAATCAGTTTAGCTTCATTCTACTACTTTAGAGTTTCGTTAGCTGCTCACCAGTATTTTCTACAAACTACCAAACCACAAATCTTTCAATTGACGCAAACTAAAGCTATTTCTAGATATGGAATTGTTTACACATAACAGGCAACTATTGCAATTGCAGCTTATGAAAGTTTCGGAARCCAGYCATCATCAGGCAATTTTTGGCCAATTTTCAGAATTGATGAGGTTTTTAAGCAAATTTAACCTAAAAATTTATTGCTCCAGAAGCAAAATACCCCGAACTTTCAGGCGATTTATATTAAATAGGTTAAAGTGCCATCTACGAAAGTTGAAAGTTTCAATCCCGGCTGATCATCCTACAAAGTTCAACAATTTTTCGAATTCGATCAAGTTTCTAGGAAATTTGCGTAACCTAATTTTAAGTTACCCTCCACCTAAAAATTCATTGCTCCGRAAGCAAAAWAGCCCKACCTTTCAGAGGATTTGTGTTAAATAGACTARAGTGCTATCTACGAGAGCTGAAAGTTTCAATCCCGGCTGATCATCCTAAAAAGTTCAACAATTTTTCGAATTCGATCAAGTTTCTCGGAAATTTGCGTAAACTTCTTCAGTATTATTTTTTGTTCGAGCGTCAGTTGTTTCTAGATCTGACAATTTGTACAGACAATAGGCAACTATAGGCCATTGCAGATTATGAAAGTTTCGAAAGCCAGTCATCATCAGGCAATTTTTGGCCAATTTTCAGAGTTGATCAGGTTTTTAAGCAAATTTCAAGTTACCCTCCACCTAAAAATTCATTGCTCCGGAAGCAAAATAGCCCGAACTATCAGGGGATTTGTGTTAAATAGGCTAAAGTGCCATCTATGAGAGCTGAAAGTTTCCATCCCGGCCGATCATCCTAAAAAGTTCAACAATTTTTCGAATTCGATCAAGTTTCTAGGAAATTTGCGTGACCTTCTTCAGTAATTTTTTTTTTGAGCGCCAGTTGTTTCTAGATCTGCGAATTTGTACAGACAATAGCCAACTACAGATTTTACGTTTTTGTATCAAAAAAGCCAAAGAAAGTTTGGAAGTCGGCTCATCTTCAGGAAATTTTACTCGACTTATTACAGTGCGCCAGGTTTTTAAGAAAGAAACATTTACGTAACGCCACATGAAAATTAATGTGCCCGCAAGTAAAACACCTAAAGATTTCCCCATTTTCAAATCTTCTAAGATTGCTGCAAAATAGCTGAAAGTTTTGAACGTCGTCCAGCATCGACGAATAAAACATGAAAATAAGCCATACAAAGAGGCGAAACTTTCAGTTTGACTTTCAACTGATCAAAATCAGGATCATACAAGTAAAACTGCTCAATTTTAGTACGCGTTTTGCAGTTTGTACTGGTTTTTTCTCACATTTTCTAGGCTGGAAAGCTGAACGCGTTCTGAAATTTCCAAAAAATGTGAAAACAAAGCCCTTTCAGAAAAGAAACGTTTAAATCAAGAAGTCAGATTTCCTAGAAACGTGATCAATTTTGAAAAATTGTTGAAAATTTTATGATGAATATCCGGCAGTGAAAGTTTCAGGTCTCTTAAAGAAAACTTTATTCAATTTAACCTAATCCCTTCAAAGTTAGGACTGTCTTAGTTCCGGAGCAATACATTCTTACGTGAAAAGTTCTTTAAAACTTACTTAGAGACCTCATCAATTTAGGAACTTTTTTGAAAATTTAGCAACAAATTTCCTGACGATGGCTGGATTTCGAAACTCTCATAATCAGCAATCGCAACAGTTCCTATTGTGAGTAGAAGTTTTCAGATCCAGACATTCATTTACATGAAAAAAGTTGTGCATATCTTTGGAAAACTTCAAAAATTTCGAAAAATCGCAGAACATTTTCTGGTGATGATCGGGGGTTGCAACTCTCACGTCTGTTAAACGGCACTTTAGTCTATTTCACCTAACACTTTGGAAAATTCTGGCTATTTTGGCTTCGAAGAAATTAATTTCTAAGTTGAAGATTATTTCAAAAATTTTTTGACATTTCATCAATTTTGGAAATTCGCCAGAAATTGCCTTATGATGACTGGCTGGCGAGCTTCACATGTTTTGCAATGACATACTTTCCAATAAAGTATGGGAAAATATTCTCAAATCTAGAAATGGCTGACTGTCGCAAACATTATTTTATATGCAGATTATGCAAATATCTCTTAGATAACTGACAAACTTTGAAAAATTGAGGAAAAATCCCTGAAGCTAACCAGATTCGAAACTTGCAAGTTTCATAACGGAAACGTTCGCCTATCTAATGCAAAACCCCTGAAAGTTATAGCTGTCTTGGTTTAGACAAAATTCGTTTTTTTATATAAAGGTGATGAAATCTTCTATAAACGTCAATTTTGGAGATTGGCCCAAAATTTCCTAATGATGGCTAGCTTTCAAAATTTTCATAATCTGCAACTGCCTATTGTGTGGGAAAATTCTCAAGTCAAGAAATAGCTGGCAGTCGAAGAAATTAATTTATTTTAAGAAGGTTGTGCAAATCTCTTAAAAAATAGTAAACAAATTTTCTTTTGTAATCAGGGATTGAAATTTTCAGTTCGGTTCAAGGGTGAGTTAATCCATTTAACCCAAAAACCATCAAAGTTCTGACTATCTTGGTTTCGGAGCAATGAATTTTTGTATGGGAGTTTTTAAAATTCGCTTAGAGCTCTAATACATTTTAGAAATTCACCAAAAATTAATCGAAGATGGCTGGCTTTCGAAACTCTCATAATCTGCAAAGGAATAATCAATCATATCAAAAAAAATCAGGTGATTCCAGCGGAGAAATAAAAAGTTCTGCTGGTTTTTGTACCAAGACAATCAAGAATTCCTGACTTGTCGAGCGTCGAAACTTGATTCTTATGCCGCGTCCAGACCAAACAAGCCGAGCCAGAGTCGAGCCTGATCGGCGGCAAATTCTTTTGATATTTCGTCAAAACACCGACAGAAAATCGATCGTCAATCTAACTATTGGCTGTTTCATTTCAGACACTCAAGCTTCTGCAAGCAGTGACGCTTCTTTGCCTAACCAATGAAATCCTCTGCCTATCCTGCATCGAGTTGCAGCAGAAGTCGGAGAAGGAATGCTTCACATCGGACATGCGAAAGAGCCACAACGGCAACTACGGACATTGCGTGAAGACCCGGATGAAGCGCCACCAGAGCTTCTGTGACACTGATGGTGAAGATGATGATTATTATTGTCGCAGCTGCAGCTGTGACTCGTGCTCTTACAACAAATGCGAAGGTAAAGTTCTCTTATTCATTTATTTATTTAGCATCTTGTGAACATCCTACAAAGCTTAGGGTTGATGTTTGGACATCATCAGTTCCATGAAATCATCTAAAGTGACCTGGCCATCGCCATCCAGATCGGCCGCCTGAATCATTTCGTCATATTCTTCATCGGCGAATTTGGCCCCCAAGCTGGCAATGGTGTCTCGCATGTCGCTGACTGTGATAAACCCTTTGCCATCCTTGTCGAAGACTCTGCAGCAGAATTGTGTTCAGTTGATTTGATCGTATGGCGATGCTGCGCCGCTTCCACCTAAAGGCGCCTTTGATGTCGTCTTCGTTGGTGCAGTCCCTCATCATTCCCTTCATCACATCCACAAATTCATCGAAGTCTATCAACCCATTTCCATCCTTATCCACTTCGGTGATTATGTCCTAGGAAGGAGCAGGTTCAAAGGAGGTAAACCAATTTCAACGCAACTCGCTTACCAGAAGCTCCGCTTCGGTGGGGTTTTGCCCCAGGGCCTTCATCACTACCCCCAGTTCCTTTGTGGATATCGTGCCATCTCCATCCTTATCGAACAGCTGGAAAACGTCCCGAATCTCATCAAGGGTTTCTTGCGTGACTTCCTCCTCTCTCCCTACGGAAGTGGCGGCGGAGTCTCGACGAGTCACTTTGCTTTCCAGAGAGAGTTTCCTGGGGGTGTGAGGCACCAGTTTGGGCAGTTGCCTGCTCTTCGAGTTGATCTGTTTGGAAAAACCCGGCGCTTCCAATTGGCTGGAGGTGATGGTCACTTTCATGGTCTTCTCCGGCGCGTTTGGCGCCTCCGGCGCCTTCTCATCGTTGGGCACAGCTTCGGAAGACATTGAAGTCACTCAATTTCAGTTTGACTGACATCGCTTCACTTCGGAGCTCCAGCCCCTATTCCCTAGCGATTTACCTGGTAGATGGCAAAATAAATGACTTGAGTTAAATTCTTCAATCAAGGGAAAGCCTTTCAAAAAAGATTTATTTTCAGAACGACGAGTTACAGC